CTGGCATTCGGCAAACTGGATTCCGACAATCTGACATAGATCCCACTCGCTTACCCTCTAGTATGTTAAAAGTCACGATTAATTTCGATAAAAGAGAACAATTAATATTCATGACCATTAAAAGTAGATTGGCCTAATTACAGACGGCCGGAGCACAAAAACATTACGCATTTATCATTAGGCCTAGAACCATACGTGAATAGGCCTAACATCCAGAAAATGTTGTTTCAGGACCTTTGGTTATATTCAGGGGTGGCGTCAGTGGGGAGGGGGGCTGGAACCCCCGTCGGGGAGAAAATTAAGCACAATTCGTCGGGGAGAAAAAAATGTATTTTCTACATATTAGTAGACTCTAAAATCGATTAAGACTTTGAAACCCCTAAATTGTCAAAATCTTTCGTAACCTTTTAAACGAAGCCCAACCACGCCCACTGTCCTTTCGTCGGGGTCTGACTCCTCGTCGGGAGAATCGCACCCCCCCCCCCGTCGGGGACCTCGGCCGGCCCCCGTCGGGCAAATCCTGGCTCCACCCCTGGTTATATTTCCCCTCAGCGACACAATACACTTTTTTTTTTTATAAGAACCAGTACAATTTTACTCAGGCTCGGTGTACCTATTTTTTGCCGATTCCAGGCTCGAAATGTTCTTATTTTGTTACTATTTTTACACAGTTTTCAAATATAGAAAATTATTATTGTACATTTAGTATATTACTGTACTGTATTATAGAGAGTATTACATAGTCACACCTGCTGCAAATAAGGTACCGATAAGGTTTGTTGGTTTTTCTATTTAAAAAAAACAAAATAAAAACCTCATTTGACATTTTACCTCAGCCTTAATTTGTTCTTATTTTGTTCTTAATTTTTAAACAATTTCAGCCTCAGTGTTCTTATAAAATGTGTTCTTATATTTAAAAAAAGTGTATTCTCATACAGTTTACTGATAAATTATTGTGAAAACCAAGAAACGTGACCCATAAATCTTCATCCATGTCAGGATTGTTTGTGAAATTCCACAGCTGTTGTTAACTGACAGGGGTCCACTCGCTAGTCATAAGGTTCGCTATTTATAAGGTTCACTATTCATAATTTTTTTTAAAGTCCACTATTCATGAATCTCATTATTTATAAGGTTCGCTAATTATAATAGAATAACAGGTTGGCTAGTCATAATAAATGGTTTATTAGTCATAATTAAGAAAAGAGTTCGTTATTTATAATAGAAAAATAGGACCGTTAGTCATAAGGTTCGCTATTCATAATAAAACAAAATTTCGCTATTCATAATTAAAAAAAAGAGGTTCGCTATTCATAATAAAAAATAGAGGTTCGCTTTTCCTAATAAAAAAAAAAGGTTCGCTATTCATAATAATAAAGAAAAAGTTCGCTTGTCATAATAAATAAAAGATGTCGCTAGTCAAAGAAAAAAAGTTTCACTAGTCATAATAAAAAGAGGTCCGCTATCTGTAATGAAAATGGAGCCCCAACTCTGTTACAGATTTGGAAGCTTTTAAAATGTAAATATATAAATTTATAAAATATAAAAATAAAGTCTAGGCCTATATTTAAAAAACACGTAAAATATTTGAATTAATAGCTGTAACTAATAAAAATAATTTAAAACCACACTTGAAGCAGTTGTTGACAAAGTCTAAATTGAGAGTCATGTGAAGTTCTATACTCATCTCCATTTGAATGCTCACCACGCCACTCCCCTTAGCTTGTTTCCTGAATAAAGAGTTACGAAGTATCCGTTCAAAGTCAAGGAAGTTGTACTAGTAAGCCCCACAAGTCAGACAAATATAAGCATATATATCTGTCTCTTATACACATCTAGATGTGTATAAGAGACAGAATGGATCCTGTCTCTTATACACATCTAGATGTGTATAAGAGACAGATATATGACTATGAGTATGACTAGCTTTCACTCTTATTGTAATGACCAGTAAACCATTTTGTTGGTTTTTTTTATTATGACAAACCTTTTTTTTTTATTGATTTATTCCTTTTTTTAATGATTTATTAGCTAGTAAACGTTTTTTTATATTATGAATTGCGAACCCATTTTTTAAAAATTATAAATGGCGAACCTCTTTTAGTTATTTTGAATAGCGAACCTCTTTTTTTTTTTTATTATGAATAGCGAACGTCTTTGTTTATTATGAATAGCGAACCTCTATTTTTATTATGAATAGCGAACTTCTTTTTTTATTACGAATAGCGAACCTCTTTTTTTTATATATTATAAATATCGAACATTATGAATAACGGCCCTTTATTTATATTATGAGTAGCGAACCCTTTTTCTTGATTATGACTAGCGAACCTTATGCCTTGTGATCCTTTTAATAAATTATGAATAGTGACCCCTTTTCTTGATTATGACTAGCGAATCTTATGAAGAGCGGTCCTTATTTGTTATGCATAAGGAAACCTTTTCTTCATTATGAATAACGAACCTCTGGTATAGGGTAAGCTAATGTTATGAATAACGAACCTTATGAATAATGAACCTTATGAATAGTAAACCTTCTGACTAGCGAGCTTGCCCAACTGACACACAGAAACAGAATTTTCATATATCTATCTCGGATTACACCTCTAGCAAAGTTCAAAGGTTTTCAAACTGGTGGTTCAATTTTAGTGAGCCACACTGCACGAATGTAAAAGTTCAGCGGCGGGCTACGAAACTGCCACCTAGCTTTCGTGGAATGTCGTACGAGGATATAGGCTTGGTTTGTTTAGGCTGCCTACTATAGAAGAAAGAAGAAAGATGCCATAGAGGTGACATGATTGAGACATTTAAAATCTTGTCAAATAAAGAAGATATTGCTAGTGATGTATTCTTTCAAAAGTCTGTTTTGTCTTCTACTATTGGCCATAGATATAAATTGAACAAGAAATATACTCGTCCAAATTGTTGTAAGCACTTTTTCACTCAAAGAGTTATTGATGCTTGGAATGCTCTCCCCGACAGTACAGAAGCTGACATTATAAACGAGTTAAGTCAAACTGTATGAAGTCTTGAGGGGCTAATAGAGGTCCACATCAGTCCTAGCAGCCTCCTCCACCACTATTATAGAGTGGTATACGGTTAATTACGGATAATTGTTCTTTTCAAACGAAAAATGACAGAAAAATAAATTCATATTCTTATAATCAATTACTATTGCACATTACCTTTATAAAGGGAATATTGAAACTACAATATAATGACTTGCCTAAGATTCATAACGTGATAAAGATCTTTTTGTATTTGAAGTTAAATATTTAGTGGAAGTGGAGTTGCAATTATCGGTAGCAATATAAAGGACTTTTTTTTCTTTAACTGTATCTGGAAAATCTGTATTGGAACTTATGAAATTTATAAAGATCGGGACCGGTATTATGGGAGTGAATGGAGTGAGATTTGGGATATAATCAATCTTGATTTTATCAACGTTTTAATATGAGGGATTATTAAATTTAACTACATAATGAAATAAACTTCAAAGGCCTAAAATCATGGAAGTTCACATGATAGAGAGGCAAATTTAGTTGGGGAAGGAGCATAACAGGTTTATCAGTATGAAAGTGAAATAGCCAAGTAAGGTGGCATAACATGGATCAAAATAACTAATATTTAATATACAGTATTTTTGCAGAGATGATACCATAATTCGTTTAAAGATGGAATTTAAGATAATATCTGGACTTTTTTTGGAATTTTGATCTGATGTTTCTATGTTACTTTACCGGTAGTTGGATTTAGTAGATTCAAAGGGGAAAAAAGTGGCCGTTAGTGTGGAAAACCCTTTTTTGAGGAATTTACTGAAAGTATGGAAAATCTTTAAGGAAATGTAAGAATTAATGATATATAACATACACTAAAAGAAAATATTGATGATTATTGTAAAGAATTTAAAATGAACATTCATTATTTAGAGTATGAGCAATGCTTTACTCCTTGCCTTGCCACAACTTAAAATTCTTGATAACAATTGCAATGCCTTTTTCTGCCTATCTATCTATAGATTGTTGTTACAGTGTAAAAAAGGTTGCCAAATATTCTATGTTAACCTAATAAGAGGTGAAAAAGAATGAACAAATTGATAATAAGGCTCTAAATAAATATTCCAGCAAAATTATTTTTTTATTAACTGATGAAAAAAATTGTATAAATAATTTCTTGTGCACGGAGGATAACAAACTCAGATGGTTATCTTTACAACTTTTATATTGGAATTACAGATTGTAAAGTATGCTCTTTTTGTTATTTATAACCTGAAACCATAGCTCACCTTTTATGCAAATGTACAATGGTATATCCAATTCGGAAAAAAAATTGAACAGTTTTTGTTTTAACCATTAAGGCTATATTTGAACAAAATAATTCTCTTTGGTTTTGAAAATCCATCCAACATTAATATATTATTTTAATAAAACATACTTGGTCAGCTAAGCATCAACAATTTTGTTGGTGTTTTAAATTATTTAAAAGAATATTTTCTCTTTGAAAAACATATTTATTATTCGAATTTCAAAAAATAACCCACTTCAATGATAGATGGAATATATTCATCTTATTATTTACTTACCATATCATTATCATATTAAACATAATAATAAATATTAAACATACAATGTTGTACTGTTTTTCTGTTCTATTTTATTATTTTATTTTTTTTAGTTTGCATTGATATTACTGAGATTTAAAAAATGAATTAAAAAACCCTACATTTATACCATAGAGAAAATAGAAAATACTCTGAAACAGCACCCACTTCATGTCGGTGTTTAATGCCAATGTTGGGGCTGAGGTGGTGTTGATAAGTCGAGTAGGTGCTGTACCTCTGAACTCACTCAAAGGCGGTTTCACAAAATAATTGAATATATCGAATATTTTTTCCATGTACATGTATTGTTGAATATGATGGAATTTCTAGAGATGCTATGATACATATTAATTTCCAAATAACATTAACTTTATTCTACCAATTTTAATTAACTCTACAGGAAATGTTGTCCCATGCTTGGGTTTACCTGGAATCCAGGATCCACTAGTGGGCCAAAACCAACCGGGTAAAGGAAGAGAAATTTTACAAGTTAGTCTAGCAGCTCAGTGTTTAAATGGGTTGTGTAGTCAACTGAAAGTCAAATGGGATCTATTGAAGGGGTCAATGGAGACACTTCTCAATGATCTAGATTATGCTCTACCAAGGTATTTCGATGGAATTGGTCAACGTGAAAAGGCATCGAATATACCATCTGCCGAAGATGTCATTAAGACATTCAATCGTTATGGAACTACTCTTAACTTGGTTGATCGACCGTTACATCAGTTTGTCAACTTATTAGAATCTTTAAAATCTATTTTGCCGTTTGTAAAGCAAATCAAAGATGTCCTTGGTAAATTCAACTTTAAAAAGTCTCTGACTGACAGCTTGAAAAATATTGAGGATTTTGCCGATGGGAAAAAGACACATGATAAAACTCACCCAGAAGTCTCTAACTTAACCAAGGATTTAAAGTCAGTAAGGACCATGTACCTACCCGTAATCAGCACTCTGCCGTTTCTATTTGATAACATAAATGTGCTACAAGAAAACCTGCAGAGTGAGTTGTCTGGAAGGAGGAACGATCTACCTGATGATTTACTCAGTTTTCCGATAATGGTACAGGCTGGAACAGTACCAAGGAACTTGAGCGAAATTGATGGTCAGTCTACAGCGTCTCATTATACATTTCTAATACATTTTGTAAAGTGCTATCCGCGTAAATTGACATCATAAATAAATATTGAAAATGTTTGTATTCATTTCATTTTTTTTATTTCATTTATTTTGCCGAAAACAATTACAATATAAAAGGATAAAACAGTCAAGAAAAACAAAAAAGATACAATAAATGTTGGTCTCTGGTTCCCCAAAAGGGCCGGCGGGATAACCGAAAAGTAAAATAAATTACTGCCAAAGTTGGTCTCCATCCGATTTGGGGAAACAGAGAACAGCAAAACACACAAAAAAAAGTAATAAAAATATAAATATAAATTACAATATAGAAAATAATAAGCATTTCAATTACAATCATTAGAGGCGCATCCTTTTATTATTTTAAAAATATATATTCATGTGATTTGAGTTTATTTTACACAAATTAGTTAATAATAAATGTTATATACATAAATAAACATGCAAGCAAATCAGGTACTATAAACAACAAGACATTCAGAAGACCCAGTATTCAGACATGCCGAAGCATGAGATTTAGTTATGTTAATAAATAATAAAATAAGAAACTGATTTTTTAAAATTTTTATATCGTATACAGCTCAAGTCATAAGCATGTATCGGCAGCAAAGTAAAGCGTGGGAACAGAATTATGGATTGTGTAAGTGCAAAACCATTCTTTGTATTCAAAAACTTTGATAATATCTATACCCTAAGAAAATAAAACAGGCATGATAAAAAAAATTGGAAATTCCTTATATTTGTATGCTTCAAACGGAATAGTGAGTATGCCATTTACACGATGAGAGTGAAAAATAATTTCTGTTGTGTCAGACAATAACGTGATCTTGTATATTGTATGCATTTATCGTGTATAGTATAAATATATATCATATTTTAGTACTACAGGAACACCAAAGTTTGACGACAACAATGCTAATGGATAAGCTTCAAATTTCATGCAACCTTAACAGTTACGGCGTCGAAAGGAGTAATGGTGATTATTTTAATTATTTTACATTGTAGGTCTATCTTTCTATGAGCAGGCAAACATGCATTTTAATTCCGTCATCAAATCAGTCTTTATTCAAGAAACAATAAACAGAATATAACATAAAACCCAAGTCGTGGCTTTATTGAGCGCATGGAGGGTGTCACAAAGAAACAACAAAGATAAAACATACTTGGACAAAACTAATGTTGTGATATTAATTCTTACAGGACTACTTGATGACGATGTCGGACACGGCACTGCTTTGGAGAAAATGCTGCGAATATTTGATCAAAAGATTTCAATGCACAAGCTGAAAGATGTAACTCAAATCAATTTTACAACCTCTATATTCTCAGCTGGAATATTCGACAGTAAAGGTGGCAACTTAACTATTGCCGATGCCGAAGTTAATCTATTCATTCCACCAAACGCAATTCCTCCTAGAACCAGAAAAGAGATTTACATATACTTAGATCAAAAGGCACACTTGAAACTTGAAAAGGAAAATGAAACAAGAATTTCTCCCATTGTTCATTGTGGGCCACCGGGAACATCGTTTGAGGTGCCATTCGTCCTCTCTTTTCCACACTGTGCTGAAGATGAAGAGCAATGGACATTTTCAGGGATGATAGATTCCAATGACTCGGGTGCCCACTGGCAGAATATTAGTGATGACTGTGATGGAATAAGCTTGGTTCAAGGAGGTCACTGTTTCATTATGGTGAATCACTTCACTAACTTTACATTTAAAGGAGCCACGCGACAGCAGGAAAGTTCTAAACTCATTAATTTTTGCACATTCGGAAAGTGTTACGACAGAAGTAACTCATATTGTTTTAACGTACGCGCCTGGAATCCTCATGATAAAGCGGTAAGTTGCACATGGCTTAAAAACGTTCTTCAATAATTTAGATAATCTCTTATAATGTGAGGAAAAATCCAAGATAATGATGAAACACAGATTTTCCAATGTATCATTCTGTATGTATATTAACCCAGTACGAATTATTTGATCAGTTGATATTATCTTGTCCGAACACATACATTTTAGGTTGTACTGGAAGAACAGCGCAAACTTCATGAAAATTGTTTAGACTCGATAAAAACACTGAGTGTACAAAATACTGGTAAAGACGTAAAGGTGTCACTGAAAAATGTAAAAGAAGGATGGATATCGGAGTATGAAAAGGAAATGGTAAGGGTACAGTATTATCAAAATTAGATCTGTTAATCTAAGGAAATACAGTATAACAAGAATCTTACTTACAGACAACCCTCCTTTGAGACACCCGTACAATGAAATGTATATAGGCCTATTCCACTATGTAGTAATACCCTCATTTAACAAAAAAGACATAAAAACAAGACTTGTCCTTTTCTTTCAATCATCAGCTTCTCTTCAAAGACATTCATGAGTTATCTTATATCACAGAGAACACAAAAGTTTGACTGTTTTTCTTAGGCCTTTAACAAATGAAAATAATTATTTCCAGAAAATAAGTTATGAAGAATTATGGAGCGACACAGAAGATGGTAGCACACCACCATCTTGTCGATTTCGTCTCAAAACCAAAGATTCTCAACAAAGTGATTCTGTGTACTGTAGAGTGAAAAGCAAACAAGACGGTCGCAAAAAAGAAATAGCTCTGGAAGTAAGTCCTAATACTTCGACAATTCAGCAGGTACGTTTTGCATTAGAATCCTGTAAATACTCTGGTATACTCTGGTGTAACAAGACACGAAAAAACAACTTCATAAACAAAATAGTCATACCTATATTCACGCATCAAAATACAACAATGCTGTAATGGGGTTCTATTTTTGTGGAACGTAAACTTTTAAATTGTTATTTGATATCAAATAATCTGGCTATCTATAAACAAAATCACATAGTTAATAAATGTTTAGATTACGCGATTAAAAATATAGAATGGCCTCTGTTTTAAAATCCGGAAAACCCCAAAAAGGAACAACTTTTAATGGATCACAGATTAAAAC